AATATTGGGAGGACGTCACGGATGAGTTAAAAAAACGAACCAGCAAATGGGGAGGTCGCGATATGTCTATCTTCACCAGAGCTACGGTCTGCAATATATTTCTGACTGCTAGGGTGTGATATGTGCTACAGGTGCTGCACTGCGCTCGAAGTAGCATCCAAAATATACAGAGAGTTTTCGCTTTGTTCTTATGGAAATGTGCAAGTGAACCCACGCGATGAGACAATCTGTTTTTGAGGCCCTCCAAGGGTGGACTCGGGTTGCTACACTTGTTCATCCGAAAAGTGGTTTCACGCTTTTTGTATCTACGAGATCCAAAACATCCGGTATTGCAGGTAATGTTTCAGACAAGGCTCACGAGCCATATTCCAACCTTCCTTGTGAGCTCGTCCATCGGTCCTCCTGCAAGAATGTTTGGGTTTCTAAAAGAAGTTGTTGATGCTTTTAGATTTGTGAGTGCCAGGTTCTCTCTTGATTATCTGGCTTCGGTTAGTCGAAGGAAACTGTACCGTGATTTGATTGATAACGTCTTTCCAGTACCAGTGTGTCGTGTGATCAATGGCAATGGGCCAGGCCAGGATGTCTTAACCCGGGTGAGGAAAATGGCAATACCTCCAGCAGCAAAGTCTTTCTTTTTTCGCTTGCACACTGGTACTCTGCCAGTGAAACTCTGGCTTGGAGAACGAGGTATCATAGTTCCCGGTGGTGTAAACTGCCCTCTTTGCAAAGAACCTGAAACTATTGAACACTCTTTTCTGTATTGCTGGGAGGCCATTTTCCTTTGGGATGTGTTGAAACGAACTTTAAAAAAGGATTTGTGTATAACGTCGTATTCAATACGCTTCCTTCCTGTCGAGCCGCAAGGTTGTATTCCGTACGACATGATTATGGTTATTGCACTTTTTAGTCTGTGGAAGTCCCGTATGTCCGTCAGACATGCTGAACAGCCCCCAAAATCCGCGCACCTGTTTTTCATTGAGCTGATTGCTCAAATTAAGAGTGTGTATGAGTACAACCAGTCCTTGCCTGAATGGGCAAATATTTTGGAAAGCCTTGTGAATATGAAAGAATTTTAAGTGTGCAACTACCCGAAAGTGCCGGGCGGTTTGCCTTTTATTATATGCTTGTATATAAGCGCTGAATAAAGAAAAAAAAAACTTCTACTGTGGTCGAGAGGTTAGAGCGACGGTACTTATCGTCACGGCGTGAAAGTTCTGGGTTCAAATCGCGCTAGGAACTTTTTTTTTTTTTTGTATTTTGCGCGTGTCTTACTTTTTAACTGTGATCCTTTTTACGAATCATCCACTTGCACTACTGCGCCTTATACGGTGTTTACTGTTAGTCCCACCTGTTCAATCGAAACATCGGTAAGAAAAAAAAAAAAGAGATCGAGGCAAGTTAACGCGCTAATACAATCATTTCATAATGTTCATTGAAAGGAAACCAAGCTAACAGCATAGGTATGGCTTTCACACAAACGGAGCCGAAACAAGCATCCTTTCCCCAGCAACTACAATTTTATGTGTTTTTAAATATACAACGCCCTTGCTACGACTCCTTTCAATAACAGGAGACGCCCGTTTAGTACTAATAAAAACTGCAGGTTTGACAATTAAAAAAAAAAAAAGACTTTCACAAAATAAGCAAAAAGAAAAAAAAAAAGAATAGCAGCTGTGGATGCATTGATTGAGCGAAATCCTACAGGCAAAGCAGCAAGTCAAACGTCTGAGAAAGTAGTAAAACCGAAATAAAAGAGATAACGTGTGGTAGAAGCTATGTGGGCCAAACTGGACGGTGCCTAAACGATCGCCTTCTCGAGCATGATCGATCACTAAAATCTACGGTGGGTGGTCACCTTCCCGTTCACTGCAATTCCTGCTCGTGTGCTCCAATTCTAAAAGGCACAACAATAATTGGACACTATCGAGACAAGACGACTCGCGAAATCTTGGAAGCACATTGCATCAACAGCCTGGGGGACTGCTGCGTCAGCCACCCATCAGTGACACTACTAAACACTGAAACCTTGTTTTTAGATCGGACTATGGGGCAAAAACATTGCAGTTAGATGGTGTTGTGTCGCGTGTCACAAGCATTGCGTGCCCTGCGTGTCTTTCAGAACGTTTTCTTCTTCTTCTTTCTTTTGTGTATAAATTCAGTTGCGAGTCAGCGCTTGTGTGTCCTGCATCAGAGCCTTTTATACTGGGAGAGTTCGGCGGGTGGGAGGGGCTTACGGCCCGCTAGGTCTAGCGGACTCAGCGGGCGCCGCTTCCGCCATGATGTGCCTCCCGGCTAGTGGGTCCCCATTGACATGCGAAGTATACGCGTGTAGGTTTTGCCGTTTGCGCTTTTGTTGGCGTAAGGAGAAAGTCGAAAAATCAAGCATTTTGTTACGTTAATCATACGTTAATCATAAACTTACCTCGCACAATCGAGAACTCGGCTTCCAGTCAGCCCTTCTTGGTTTCCCAGATCTTGTGCCTTGCGCGGTTTTCTTTTCCTTGCGGGAACCGGTACATCCTGAACCCCTTTTTCGCGTTGTTCGAGCACCCAACGGCACTTCAGCCCCCCATTTCTTTTTCATCTAACGTCTGGCAGAGCGCAGCGCAGAACGATCATTTTCATCGTCGTCTCTCGCTCCATGGACTCTAGCGAGCCGACTGCCGGCTCGAGTCAGTAGGGCAAACGGGTTTTATCAGCCGCCACCAGCCTTACACCAAACAAGGGTGAAGCTTGCAATTTAAGGTTATAATTATAATGCAATTAAATGCAAAGGTGCAATCAAGCTAGACGGCAAGGCACATCATGGCGGATGCGCACAGTTGCCAGACTGTTTGATCAGTGCTGCCAGACTGGCGGCTGGATCAAAGAACCGCCGAACTCTCCCAGTATAAAAGGCTCTGTCCTGCATGTTCCTTTTCTCTGTCCTTGTCTTTGTGTGCGCTGTTCTGTTCATCATAAAAGAGATCATACTTTTACTTGCATGGAATGTGATAAAAGGTATATTGTTACGCTTTACATTTTGTTGTTGCAATCGTTTTGTAATATTAGCACATTACTTGTTGAATTTTAGTTAGCACAGCAGACCATCGCAACCGAATGCAAAAATGAATCAGGCGTCGACATCGCAAACCCTCTCTCTAACGCAAACACCTAAAATGACTTTGGATCAACAAATGGAAATAATTAGAACGGTTGGAAAACGGAAACAACAAATTCTAGAGAAATTCAGCAGCACAGTTACCTAGCGAGCGAAGAGACGGGCATGGGAAGATATTGTCAACTTTCCGCGGAGTGTACGGCAGATGCAGGAGGCGTGGCGGAAGTTGGTAAAGGAAGCCAGAGACATGTATGCGCTCTTCCGAGGTCATGAACAACGAACTGGTGAGTCAAAACTACCCGCCCAATGATTTTATAGAGCTCCATATGGCCTTGTCTACATTCTTAGTGGGAGTGCAGTCAAATAGAAAAAAAAAAAAGAGAGTTAGTGACGCGATTTGAACCCGGGACTTTCACGCCGCGACGGCAAGTACCGGCGCTCTAACCTCTCAACCACAGTAGAAGTCGCGAGACGCCGGCGCTGGCGGAGGTATATAAATATTCTGCCACCACTTTCATCTCGAGTGGTTTTTTCTTTATTTTGGCTCATTTTCACCCTTCCTGGCCGTAACTTTATCTGCCGCTCCTACAGTATAAGGGGGCGGTCAATTGGACTCCAGTTGAAAGTCCCGGCAGTCAGTTTCTGCGAGCGAAATTAGTATTTTGTGCTTGAAGCGATACGGATTTCTCCGCCATTAAGCAGGGACGCTAGGTACTTCCTTGTCCCCATGGAGTTGGTCACGTGACAGAAAAATCCCTCTTGGCCGCAGCCGCAGCCACGGCCGCAAGATCAGCAAACCGGCCCAGGCATGGAGAATAGAAGGGTAGGAGAGGGCATGACGTCGGCCGCGTAGCCTCCACGAGCCATGCTCCCTTGACGCCTCGCCTCTCTCATTTTCCTTCCTACTCTCCTCACTTACCATGCCAACGTGACCACATCACGTGACCGTAGCTAGCCTTCGTCTTGCTATGGGGTACTAGAATACACCACAGTCTAGACTTCGATCTGATAGAACCTACCGGACGGAGCGCGCCCAAGCCTGTAAGGCGTCCTTCTACAATCAACCATCCATCTCACACGTGACATGTCACGCGCACCAATCGGCAGAGAGATCTGCGATCACGCTGGGCGCAAAATCGTTTAAACTTTTTATGACTAGGCTTCACCAATAATGCAACGTGCCCGCTCCTAGTACTTCTAACCTCCTTGGGCCCAGGTGTCGTCACGCAATGGAACTAAAGCGAATGTCTCCGATTCTTGGCCATGTGAATGTTCGAAAGGGAACGTTCAGAGAACATTGTGCATACGAACGTTCGCCAACGAACGTTCCTAGAATGTTGAGCAGCTTACCTTGTAGGAAATGTTCGCATACGAACGTTCCTAGAACGTTTCGAATGTTGTTTTAATGTTCCTTCAACATTCAGAACATCCAGGGAATGTTCGCACAACACTGGGTGCTACTTGGGTACTGGGCGATGAATAACTCTTGCGCATTAAAACAGGAGCTTAGAGGAACTACTTAGAAGTTTTTCACGAAGAGCCCTTTTAGGGGGTGCTTAAAATAACTTTTTTAGTGTAAAAAATGTGGTCAAGCCGAAGAACCGGTACTTCGGCTTGACCATGAAGACCATGAAACAAAAGCAGTTGTATATTTGGTCGTCAAAGTAACGAGAAAAGAAACTCGTTACTTTCGAGGTAAAGTAACGCGTTCATTTCAGAGAATCGGTAACGAATAACGTGTTTAGTAACTTTTGGAGCGAGTAACAAGTAACGGTATTTAGTTTTTTTTTTTTTTGGTGGGTAACGCATACATTTCTGCAACTGATACATCTAAGAGCGTTAGCTGCCCTCCCCGGAAGTCGCTCGTCGACTGCAACAGACGGATGCGATGAAAACCAACCTTTTCTTCCGGCGCTCGTTTAGCGGGCAGGCGGCGTTCATCAGTTCCTGGGAGGCTAACCGCAGAAGCGCCTGCTTCGAGCCGAATGTCTCCAGCGGCTCTTGTTGGGCCGCGAGCTCCTCTTGCACTGCTGCCAGCCCCTCCAGGTTCATGGCGGCATGCTGAGACAGCTGGTTGACGCTGTCTTTGACCGCGTCCAGCTCGACTTTTTTGGCTTCGAGGTCAGCTTTCACGGCTGCAAGGCCCACCTCGATGTCAGACCAGGTATTCCACTGCCGACGCAGTCGCAAACAGAAGTTAACGAGGATCGTGAGCAGCCTACGACTGCGCTCCGGCTTGGGGTCAGTGATGTCAGCTATGCCGAAGTCGAAAACACCCAGCTTGCAGAAAACCGTTTGCATCAGTCTGTTGAGGTGCATTATCGGCACGAAGCCGCTCACGTGTTCCGGCACCAAGACCTGAGGTTCCTCGAAGGCGATTCTGCACATACCTGCGTCTCTAAAGACGCCACAGAAGGCGCGCCTCATGAAGTCGCTCGTCGGGGCTTCGACGTCTTGTCGGGTCACTTCGACGTTGAGCATCTCGCTCAGCAAGACTGCAAGGCTTTCGCAGCTATCCGCGGCACGTTCCATTTTGCTGGCCATGACGAAATGACGAAGCGCTCGTAAGGAACGCGAACTGAGCGAGAGAGTGAAAGAGAGAAAGAAAAGGTTTGCAAAAAACGAACGCGGAACTCCAGCTCGCGACCATCTTTATAGGCCTCCTGAGTTGCCCAGGGGGCACTGCGAAAAGTGACTGGTTTAGGGTAGTACAATCTTGCCCGTCTGAAACTGTCACACCTGTAGAAAGCCTATACCTAGTCTGGTCCGGAACGCGATCACGAGAAAAATACAAAGAAACAACAAACATTCTAACGCCGTCGAAGCACAGGTCAAAGCTAAGACGCTAAAAACGCGAACCAAAAAACGCCGTCTTTCGCGTTCTAAAAAAAAAAAAAAAAAAAGGAAGCGTCGCGACGTCAGATATTTTGACGTCCACACAGATGTAGGAGAAACGTATACTAGCCGTGGTGGCATGAATCCTGCAATTTCGATTGCTTCACATCATTGAATCTAGCCGTTTACCGACGACGATTAAGATGGGTGTTCGTTCCGGGCTTGTGCCTATCTCAAATACTTTACTCAAGATACTGTATTTCAAATACTTTTTGAAGTATCTTGATATCTTGCAAATAATTTTGATCGAGAGTATTTGATACTCTATTTTAATTACATTTCTGAGTATCTTGTACTCATTATCTTCAATACATTTTTGACATTCCGCCATTTTCCAGCACGAGCAAACTTGAACATTCTTTCGAGCAACCAAATCCTTTTGCTATGAAAAAAAAGGGATTTGGCTCCGATAAGCTACGGTGACTTTTATTGAGCTCGTGAAAACATTGCCTTTGTGCCGATTGTGACTCATATTCACATCAGAGTACGTAGAATGGAGGTATCCCTCTCGCCTTCCCAAAGGCGCCTTTTTTTTTTTCGTAGAGTTTCCCCCAAAAGAATTCTTAAACAAAAGGGGTGGTTTTACGGATGTAAAGATTGCCATACTGTTGCCATACTGAGGCGCAACGCAAAACGGGAAAAGACCCACGACAGCAATCCAGACTTCAGTGTCAAGAAAATAACAAATGGAAGAAAACGAGAAGTTAACCCTAGCTTCTGGATGATTGGCTTCGCAAGAAAGGTGCGTGCATACACCTTCCTGGGCCCGTTTGCTCGAAGCGCTAACCGCGGCTAAAGTTAGCCGGAGCACCTAGGAGATGGAGCTTGAAATCACGTGACTGGCTCGGTAGGGATAGGGGGAAAGATGGCGGTGCACCGGTGAGTGAGCTCCGCCCGCTTTGGAACTATACTCCGTTTCACCTTCAGTCCGAGCGCAGTGGACGCCACGAGCCATCCCAGCCGATCCAGCGCCGGGAGAAAGTCGCGTGACCTGCTGGTGGGGCGGGGCGACACAGGGAGCTCAAGGTCGCATGACACTCCCTCAACGCCGCATTGGCTGGGATGGCTCCTAGCGTCCGCTGTGCTCGGACGGAAGGTGAAACGGAGTATAATATGTCGTTGTAGCTGCAATATCGGGCGCGTTAGTCAGCAACGAATTGTGCAGGAGGCTTTCGCTTTGCTTTACCTCACTTAAATCGCAAAGCATGAGCAATGAACTCGACGCTTTTTTAAAGTCTTTCGTTTCTGACCATTCCTAAGCCTAAATGAACGCGATAATTGTCGGCATGGCAACGTCTTCGGAAAGTGGATTGCCTTGACTCAATCGGCCGGGTATTGATAACACACAAAAACAGACAGCGTCCCAATCACGACCAACCCTATACTTACGACCACTCCATCTGAGCGGGGGGATCGGTGGCCGGGTGGGCTAAAGAGCACACCCAGCTCGACGCGCGTGGAGCGGAAGCTCGCGCTGCAGAACCCAGGGATCCTGGGCTCGAGCCCCACCTGGATGCGCATCGTACCGGCGTGCGGTCGTGTATCACTACTGCGTGGTGCACGTTAAAGACCCCAGGCTAGCGGTTGTACTGCACTGGCTAAATTTCTCATCTACAGCGTGTGACTCGTCGCAACTTTAATGGCTGACCAACTACGCGCTGTGTAAATATCCCCAGAACACATTTTTTTTATTTTTTTTTTATTTGAGCGCTTTTTATGGAAAAGCCTGCACCCGGCTGAGGGCCGAGTTTTAGCGCCGCCTAGTGAGAGGCGTTCTCACTAGGCGTTCTCATAGAGGCCAAAACAACCTAGTTGTACAAAACAGCGCGGAAAAGACGAACAAATATAAAGAGAGGCGTTCTCACTAGGCGGCACAAAAACTCGGTCCTCCTACCTCGTCGGGTTCTTCTTTTATCTGTGGGTGCGTGCCATCTGATCGCGCTTTCAGGTTTCAAGCGCGTTCACGCTGTAAAATGTTTCTTTCTATTGAAAGGATACTGAAGGGGTCCAATTCATTAATTAGTTCGCTTTTTTTTTAGTTTGCGCAGCCAACACCAGATGGTATTGGCTGCGACGATGGTATTAGCTGCGATTGGCTGTACAAATATACAGAGTTCCAGGCCCCGCCACGAGGCGCCGCTAAAACTCGGCCCACCGGGAGGTGCGTGCTGGAGTGTTTCCAGATGGAGTGGTCGTAAGTATAGAGTCGGTCGTGGTCCCAATAGACCTCCTTTCTAAATTTCCCAAGCACCGAGGTGCATACGGTGTGGTTACACGCGTTGCAAGTGCTAACGACTGCAGTAGTAATTTTTCTAAAGCAAAAAGTCTAAAACAAATTTTGCCTTGCACGCGCGTTCGTCAAAGCTTTATTATGATTATTTACTTCGAATCTTTTATAAGAGGAAGGCCAGCGCGCACGGACCGTACACTTCCAACGTTCTCCTCGATGCTTGGGTAATATAGAAAAAGATCTATTGGGACGCTGTCTGCTTTTGTGTGCTATCGATCCCCGGCCGATTGAGTCAAGGCAATCCGCGTTCCAAAGACGTTGCCATGCCGACAATTATTGCGTTCATTTAGGCTTAGGAATGGCCAGAATCGAAAGACTATCTAAAAAATGCGGCGAGGTCATTGCTCATGCTTTTCGATTTCAGTGAGGTAAGGCAAAGCGAAAGCCTCCTGCACCATTCGTTGCTGACTAACGCACCCGATATTGCAGCTACAACGACATATTAGTTCCAAAGCGAGCGGCGCTCACTCACCGGGGCACCGCCATGTTTCCCCGCATCCCCACCGAGCCAGTCACGTGAATTAAAAATCCCTATCCTAGGTACTTCAAGCGCTTCGAGCAAACGGGCCCTGGTGGGAAAAACAAACTAAGGCTGCTCGTATAATGCAACACCAGAATTACTTACGCGTCGCAGACCCCGCTCTTCATGCTGTTCTACGACGATCATCCAGATGACAGCTATTTGGTTAGGCACCAGCGCGCCCCTTATAGGTCGTTAAAGTTGCGAATAGCTAAAGCGACCTTTCTCTTTTTTTCTTTTTTTGTGAAAAAAATGTTTTGTAACATGTATCAGTGATATTCTGCTCCTTATGATTGGACTGCATAAAATAGCATACGGTGTTTTTTTTTTCGTTCTGTGTTGTTGCGTGCCAATAAACTATTCTGGAAAACCAGATTTGCGCAACTGTATGATTGTGTTTGCCACTAACGTCGATACAACACTCTGAAAAAAAAGGGTGTATTCTTACACCTTTTGTCCCATATAATGCACCCCAAAACTTCAGTTCGACGTACAGCGCACTATAGTTGAACAGACGGCCCCAAATTTTACGAGGGGCTTGATAACGGTGCGATATAACTTAATAAGATAGCTAATGTACTATCGGGGAAAAATGAAATGCGAACAGAGGAGCGCGTGGCTCGCGGTACAGGCTGCGCCGCCTGGAAGTGAGGCTAGGGGCGAGGGTGCGTGGCCTACTTCGATGTGTTCACGCCCCTCGATTGGCGCTCCCCCAGCTTCGGCAGTGCACCTCTCAGTGCGCTGAAAGCTGTCACCGCTATCTTTGCCTGCTCAGCGAGTGCGGCGAACTTCTTTGCACCGCACGCGCTGAGCCAGCAAAGATAGCGGTGATAGCTTTCAGCGCACTAAGAGGCGCACTGCTGAAGCTTGGGGAGCGCAGAGGGAGGGGCGTGAACACATTGAAGTAGGCCACGCACCCTCGCTCCTAGGCTCATTTCCAGGCGGCGCAGCCTGTACCGCGAGCCAAGCGCTCCTCTGTTCGCATTTCATTTTTCCCCGATAGTACGTGTTACTGCCTACAAAAAAAAAAAAAATCGTTTTCTTCGGCCCGGCTGCAAAACTTCAGTGTTTTCTTTCTGTGGTTTTTGATACGTACTTTAGCTATTTAATAAGTTATATTGCACCGTTATGAAGCCCCTCGCAAAATTTTGGGCCGTCTGTACGTCGAACTGCAGTTTTGGGGTGTATTACATGGGACAAAAGGGTGTAAGGTGACACCCTTTTTTTAAGAGTGAAATTACGCAATGTAGAAGTATCTTACAAAGTGATTGAATTACATTTCTATGTATTTCTACTCTACTCAAGATACTTTACAGTGAATGTAACTTGAGTAGTATTTTAAAGACATTATGAAGTAGGTATTTAGTAACTTAAATACTGTCCAGCAGTGGTTCGTTCTATAGCAGTATTCGCCCTTTCTCGCGTGAATGTAAACGTCATGGCGTCAATGCGCAAATAGTCCCCAACCACTTCCGGTTCTGAACATGACGGCGGGTTTCGCAGTATTTGCGAAGTAAAATATACGCGCTATCTTCTGGAAATGGCTGCTTATTAGGGTGGAGATCGAACAGTCACGCATCTAGCGGTACGCGTCAGCTGAGTCGGCAATAAACAAAATTTTCTTGTTTGTTGTTGATCAGAAAAATCGAAGATGACGATTCGAAGACCGCTCCTCGTGCGACCAAAGCACTGGTACAGTGAACTAGAATAAGAGTAGTGGAAAAATAGCCAGCCTCCAGGCGAGGCGCTTTGTGTAGAACCTACCAGGTAGCGCTGGTGTTCGATTCCGGTGCACTCGTGCCAGCGAAGTTCGCGCCAAGCGTAGCTGTTTTCGATCTT